GGGGCTTCTGGCCCCTCCTTTTTTTTAATATCTAACATTTTTACATGCTGCTAGTGAGAGAACCTGTTGTTAAAATATTTGAATCCCACCACTGTAAGTGACTAGTGTGAAACAAAAATATATAGTCCTTTTTTTATCACATTTGGGTGAATTTTCAAACTACAGCTGAGTCTGTAAACCCTTTATGTTATTCTGTAGCCATTCTGATTTTCATCTTCCAGACTTAGTGGTATTATGTTTCTATCTCATTGTTGACACTAGAGAAAATATTAAATTAAAATAAATTGGCTAAAAGGAGATCTGAATTGAATTGCTCACAACTCTGCTTCTCTAGGTAGTTTTACAGAAGTAATAATGGTAGACTTTTTTTCTTTTTTTAATTGAGATGAAGAAACATCAAATCTTCATTTAAAATGTTAAATCTCATGTGCTGTTGAGTTAATCCTTTACTTTTATTTTTACAAGAATAAATTGTAAAGCATCAATTATTTTCACACAGCTGACAAATCAGAGTTCCATAGTATAAATGTTGTGACTAAAACTTCCATAAAAATTTGTCTTAAGACAGGAATGTTTTTTTTGTTTTTTTTTCTTTGAGCAGCTCATGCATATTGTGAGACTGAATTTTGATTTACAGATATTTCATGTTCAGGTAATATGCATAGCAATATTACGCATTCAGTTCTCAAATATGGTATGTTTGATAATAGTATTCATGTTACTTTCATGAAATGTTCCATGTTTTTATATTTTTCATTCCAACTTAATTTCAGATTTGGTTTGAATTAGTTCTCTCTCTTTTATTGATTTCACTTTGTAATTTTTTTTTTTTTCAAATAATACTCTACTTTTCTGGATTGGTTTAACTTTATGAGAGCTGGTATAAAAGAGAGACAATTTGGTGTAGGTGTGTAGATTGGTGTGATTCATGGTTAAATTGCATATTGACTGTGAGTTCTGCCATTTAGCCAGTATTTTGTACTCTGAGTATTTATAGGTTACAGTAAGTGTAGGTTATTAACTAATGCTTCTATGTTAAAAAGTAAATCCATCATGTTTTTGTGATTTCACAGAATTAGTAGACAATGGAAGATTTCCTGATAATGTTGCTTCTGCCTCAGTCTCATCACCATCTCGTCACATTGGTCCATTTTACCATCCAGTGTCTCAGGTAATAGCTGAATCATAGCTACCTTAAAAACAGGCAGAAAAAAATCGTACAATTTAATATGTTTTCTTTAGGATGATAAGACACATAACCTCTTTATATAGTAACTTAAAAGTAGTGATTGTAGGAGAGATTGGCACAAGTTATGCATAGCAAGGATTTTTTATTGAAAAGATTATGTGCAAAAATCAGAGCTAGATATTTGTTTTCAATTTACATGTATGCGTCTGTATTGTGGTTATGAAACTAGTTCTTGTTTAATGTGATATCTAGTTAAGGTGCTCAAACTTCTGAGTGTTGGTTGATTAGGTCTTTGGATTACTTGAAACATTGTAAACAATTATAGCAGTTCTTTCTAATATTGTGGAGAAGAGTAAATTTAAATTTAAAACCCAGACAATACGAACAGCACAGTGAACCAAATGAAGGAAGCACATTACATTTCCACTGTTGTAATGATCACTGTTGTGCATAACTCATTGTAGATGCATGCTTAGGGGAAGGAGAACAACTCCAGTTGCAATAACATTTCTCCAGTCATTTCAAAGTCAAAATGAAGGGCCCTTAATGTAAATAATTCTATTACTAATCTTAATACCAAATGTGATGGCTTTTGTTTTTTTTTGAGCCAATACATATTGTAAGTGTTGCTATACTACAAATCACTTTATAGTTATTGGTAATCTATTTCAATAGAAACAAATATAATGGTTGATGGATTGAAAAATGTGTTAAATTATTCAGAGTTGGTATTTGATATTAGTTTTAACATACAGTCAGTTTCAGTTTTATTTTTTTTATAGACACACTATACCCAAGTAGTTGTCCATCCACACCCTAACAGCCACCCTAGTACCCCCACTGAAGGGACAAACTCCATTGGTTTTGGGAATGGTAAGTAGTGCTAAAAGAGATCTAAAAAAATCAATACAGATTTCCCTTAATAAAAGAAAATCATAGTCTTACTAAAGGATGACAATTTTGAGAGCAGTATATGGTTATGTGTAACTTTTCATATTTTTGCCATGTTTGAGATTCATTTTACCTATTATTAATGATTATGTTAATAATTCTGATATGTATTTTACCTGTATATTTATATTACATGGAACATACTACTTTAGAGATTTCAGGTTCTTGAAAATGGTACACAAAACTTTATTTTTCTCTAAAAATAAACTTGCATGTTTTAAAATTGTGAACTTGGATAAAACCAGAGGGTTCAGTATTTCCAAGAATAGATTTCATATATATACCAAAACAGGACTGAAATATGGGGAAAAAATAGAATGATGTGAGAGAAACAGGGGTTCAGGGAGAGAAATCAATTGCTCTTTATTGTGCCGTAGTGATGGTTAAGAATGCTTAACAAATGACCAGTGTAGAAAGCATAAGGACTTGACAAGAAACTGCAAAAGGAGGAGGAATCCAAGATATTGTAAAAAACACAAACAAAAATCAATAAAAATAGTGATTTAGGTAAAATTACAAACTAGAGATGCTTTTAACACACACACACACTCAGTTGCAGATTCCTAGCTATAAGTAGCTTGAATGTAACTTAGAAAGGGATACATAGAGTTATGTTGTCTTTGATGCTTGACTATAGTTAAAGATCAAAGTGGGAGAGGATCTTTCAAAAGCAACGAAGGAATGTTGCCAGTTTTCAAATTTCTTTATAAGTAATGCAAACATATACACAAAACAAAGCTAATGTAGAAATGTACAAAAATTTAAACCTTCTGTAGAAAGTTCCTTTTTTGCTTTTAGAAGTATCTTTTAATTTATTTTATATTGTATTTATGGTGTGTTTCTTCTAACATGTCTAATTACAGCAAATCTATGTGTGAATTATTGTGTTTTATAGTCCTGTTGGCAAAACGTGACAAGTCTACTCACAAATGATAACTTTTGTAGCACAACTGATTACATAAACATCTTTTATTATTATAAATATTTTTAATACCATTACTGTTTGGTTACAAATAACATTTTTATTAAATTTTATTATAACACTATCAACTTATGCACAAAAACTTCTACACTAAACATTTTTCTTTTTTAGCTCCACTGACTCCCTATAAGAAACCTCTTCATGGTACTCAGTCATCTCTAGAGGATCAAGGGATTGATGTGGAGCAGAGCCCTGGTCGAGAGAGTCCAGGAGCCAGTAGTGGAGGATCATCTGGTGGAGGGTCACGAAATAGCACTTCTAGCTTGGACAGTGGCCGAGCTTCAGCTGCAGGATCAGATGGCAAGGTCAGTTAAAGTTTTCTTTCATCTTGGTTTTGAATTGTTCGAGGGAATAAATTATGGAAATTTATTAATGTATTTATTCCAGATGAAGGATTTATTTTTGACTTGTCTTCATTGTGCATAGTTTTGTTGTTATCAGTACTCTTGTACATAATATAGAAAAAAACATTTTTGTTTCATTTTCAAGTTTTAGTTTAACATATTAGTTATTTACTGTCACTGTTAAATGATTTTTTCTTTATAAAACTGGTATATATATATATATATATTGTTTACAAAATTAGGCTTGCTTATTTTGTGTACAAAAACCTTATCATTCAGAATTAGGTAATAATGACAAATGACAAAAGCATTGTAGCAAATGCCTGACAGTAATATCTAGAAATAACACTGTTGTGTTTTAGGCTGGGCCTCATCGCATGTCTGTGCAAATCTATGAGACAAACTCTTGTCAAAGACAAAGTTACCACAGCTCAAGCTCCAGTGTAGACCAGATCAATGACAACACCCTCTTGGTCCCTAAAATTAATGTTATGGAGATGATGTTACATTCGATTCCGGTAGGTTAAGTGAATTTTGATATAGGAAGGTAATTCATGGAATATTCAGATCAAAAATGTGAAAGAAAAAACAGATAATTTGACCAACTCGTGTTACAATGTTTTAGTAAGTGAAAAACTGGACTGGTTTCATGGAGGTTTTATACTTGCTTTGTGACAATTCTTACACTAATGTATAATAATTGTGAAGAAATATCATGTGATTTTGGTGTTTTGCCAGTTTAGAGACACTGTGTTTTATTTATTGTAAGTTTTTAATCTGATATCAAGAAAAGTAAGTAATTGAACTCTGTTAACCAAACTAACTCAATGTATTGTTGGGCCAGTAATGAGAATGTTTCAGTTCTCACATATTAATATTATATATTCTGTACAACCATAACCTAATTTTCAGATTGACTGGTAAATCAGATTATTGATTATGAAACTTCATACGATTGTTTAAATGCAGTTATTTTAATTTCGTTGTGATAGAAATGTAATAAATTATCAGCTTTTCTTATGTCGTATTTTGATATTTCACTACAATGTGCACTGACAATTTTGAGAGTATGTAATATAGGTTACTTTAACAGTGGCTCTATTGTGTATAAGAAAAAATACTAATGCGTTACAAAATGTCATTTAAGACCGATAGAAACTTAAACCAAAGACGTTTTCAGAACTGAAACAAAAGCAAGTGTACTACATCATACTTAACAGTGTGAACACTTCCAGTCGTTGTTACCCACGCTAGGCGGGGCAAGAAGTGTCATCTGTTTGTTTCTCTGTTTTAAATACTTGTTTGCCCATGTCTACATAGAATTATAAAGTTCAGACACCTAAAAACATTTAGTATCACACGAATATAAACTATATATACACATTAAAAACTAGCATTTGTATGCATTGCTTTTCTTCTGTGCTTTGTTCAGTACGGAGATGTTTAAGGTTAACACAAGCATACGAAAAAGATACTGGATGATTAGAAACGATGAGGTTCAAACAAAACGAGCTTCTAAAGTCATCACTGTTAAGTGCTAGCTTTGATTCAGTGTTTTGTAGTCGGATTTTGAAAGCTATTTTAACGAGATATTTGCGAGAAGAGAATAGTTTAATATCTTTCAAACAGTTCATTGTACAATTATATATGAGAAAGTGTTGCTTGGATTTTTTTTTTACATAGTCAATTACCGAAAGTGTTTGGCTCGTGACCCATTAGAACGCATCCAGATCTAAAATGAAATATAGATCTGTTGCTTAGATACTATAAAATCAAGAACTGTAAACTTTCGATTTGGGCTAGAGCCACAAACTGTCGATATTTCATAAAATACAAAATTAAGCAAACGTGGATGAAAATGATTGCGTAAGAAATCAACACCTATTATAACCAAGTTGTACCTATTGTAGAGTTTCTGGTGCTCCAAAGAGATACTCAAGTCTCAGTTACTGGTATGTTTTCTAAAACAGTTATCGTAGTTTTTCCACCAAATTATTCAATCATTTCTTCCTTAGCTAAAATGCTATGTCGTAGAAACATGAAATGTTGTTCCTTCCACTCTAAAACCATACTGCAGTCAAGTGTGGAACACTATTGATTGAAGTATTCTGTGTAAGTGCGAACAGGGAGCCCATTAGTGATCTTTGTAACTAATTTTTCATAAGACAGATTTTCGTGGAATTCTACGCGATTGTTAAATATTTAGCAAAAAAAAAGAGGCTTATCTCTAAAATGAAAGTGCACGTTAGTGTCACGTTTCCATGAAAGTCACCACTTGAACTACACAGTTTTTAATCCTCACGCCCTCTACATTGAAAAAAAGTAAATTGCGCAGGCTTTTTAAGACTTTACAAGAGGTCTAAAGGTTGATTGTGTTTTTAAAGCAGGATGAACTGACACTCATTTGAATCAGAATTGTCAGAAATATAAGGCATTCATGAATTTATAGACGGTTCTAGGATTGGAATTATATAATATGTCAATGAAAAGAATTAACATATTAACCATTTCAGGACTAGGTACTCTTTTAAATTCCTTTCTGTGCAAGTCACGAAGTTTTACTAAGTTAAATTCAAAA